CGACGAGCGACCGCCGGCTAAACGGGGGCGGGGGTTAGCGGCGCGCCTCACTTCTTGTTCCCCTTGGCCGGCGCCGCGCCCTTGGCGGGCTGCTCCGGCGGCGGCGGGTCCTTGGCCTGCGTGTCCTGGAGCACGCGGCACCGCGCGACGAAGTCCGCGAGGGGCACGGTGCCCTCGACGGTGTTCGCGCGCGTGCGCACGGTCACGGTGCCGTCGCTGACCTCGTTGTCGCCGACGACGAGGATGAAGTTGTACTGGGCGAGCTGGGCGTTGCGCACCTTCTTGGGCAGCGTGTTGCCCGAGTCGTCGACGTCGACGAAGAAGCGCGCGGCGCGGATCGTTTTCCGCACGGCGCGCGCGTAGTCGAAGTTCGTGGGCCCGACGGGGATGACGCAGACCTGGCGCGGCGAGATCCAGAAGGGCCACTTGCCGCCCCAGTGCTCCGTGAGGACGGCCATCATGCGCTCGACGGAGCCGAGCATCGCGCGGTGGATGATGATCGGGCGTGTGACCGCCCCGCCCTCCTCCCCCGACGTGTCGCCCACGCGGTACTTGAGGTCGAAGCGGATGGGCAGCTGGAAGTCGAGCTGGATCGTCGCACACTGGTGCACGCGCTCCAGCGCGTCCGTGACCTTGATGTCGATCTTGGGCCCGTAGAACGCGCCGTCGCCCGGGTTCACGCGCCAGCCCCCCTTGCCCGCGAAGGCGTCCATGGCGCTCGCCAGGGCGGCCTCGGCGCGGTCCCACACAGCCTTGTCGCCCAGGGCCTTCTTCGGCCGCGTGGACAGCTCGAGCCGGTAGCCCATGCCGAAGACGTCGTAGACGTGCTTCATGAACTCGAGCGCGCCCCTCACTTCCTCCTCGACCTGGTCCTCGCGGCAGAAGATGTGGCCGTCGTCCTGCTGGAAGCGGCGCACGCGCGTGAGCCCGGAAAGCGCGCCGCTGAGCTCGTTGCGGTGGAGCACGCCGAAATCCGCGTAGCGCATCGGCAGGTCGCGCCACGACCGGACGTCATGCTTGAACATGAGGCAGTGGCCCGGGCAGTTCATGGGCTTCATGCCGAACTCGGCGCCCTCGACGTCGAAGCAGAACATGTCGTCCTTGTAGTGGAGCGCGTGGCCCGACGTGTGCCACAGGTCGAAGTTGTAGACGTTCGGCGTCACGACCTCCGTGTACTCGCGGAGCCAGTACTGGTCCTTGATGAAGGCGATGAGGCCGTTGTAGATGCGCGCGCCGTGGGGCTCGAAGAAGGCGGATCCGGGGCTCAGCTGGTCGAAGAAGAAGAGCTTCTGCGCGCCGCCGACCTTGCGGTGGTCGCGCTTCGCGGCCTCCGCGAGCATGGCCTTGTGCTTCGTGAGGCCCTTCTTGTCCGGGAAGGCGACGCCGTAGACGCGCTGGAGCGTGTCGTTCTCCGTCTTGCCGAGCCAGTAGGCCGACGACGCCCGCAGCACCTCGAAGGCCTTGACGCGACCCGCGTCGGGCACCTGGGGGCCCATGCACAGGTCGATGATGGGCCCGCTGCGGTAGGCCGTCGTCATGGCGCCGTCGGGCACCTTGTTTTGGATGATGGCGCTCTTGAAGGGGTTGTAGGCGAACATGTCCAACAGCTCGGCCTTCGTGAGCGCGAGGCGCTCGAACTTGGCCTTCGCGTTGACGATCTTCGCCACGCGCGCCTGGATGTCCTTGAACTCCTTGTCGCTGATGGTCTCGTTTCCGATGTAGGCGTCGTAGTAGAAGCCGCCCTCGACGGGCGGGCCGATGGAGAGCTTCGCGCCGTACTTCTGCTCGAGCGCCGCGCCGAGGAGGTGCGCCGCGCTGTGCCAGAAGACCATCTTCCCCTCGGGGCTCTCGAAGTCGAGCAGCTCGAGCCGGCAGTCGCCCTCGAGGGGCCGCGGCAGGTCCCAGAGCACGGGCTTGACCACGTCGCCCGCCTCGTCGTCGGCCTCGTCGCCGCTGCCCTCGTCGGCGAACTGGTTGATCGCGAGCGCGGTCCCCGCGAGTTCCTCGGCGTAGGTGACGCGCGCGACGCAGACGCGGCCCGCGAGCTGCTTGCTGATGCCCAGCGCGATGTCGAGGGGCGACGTCTCGTGCGCGACGCCGGGCTTGACCGTGCCGTCGGGCAGCGTGATCTCGATGGGGCGTTTCGGCGGCGGCGGCGCGGCCGCGCGCGCCGCGGCCGCGCGGTCCCAAACGGCCTCGCGGTGGGCCGTGAAGGCCGGGGCCGGCTCGACGGCGAAGGGGCCGCCGATCTTCTCCCCGGCGGCCTGGTCGATCTTGCCGGCCGACGCCGTCGTCAGCCGCGCGCCGGACGTGCGCTGCGTCTGCTTCACGCCGGGCCGGTCGAAGACGCTGAACTTGCCCGTCTTCTGGAGGGCCGGCGGCGCCATGGCTCGCGGACCGCCGCGCGTCGCAGGAGCGAATGGGTGGCGGACCGCCGCGCGCTGGAGCGAGGACCAAGACCGGCAGGTGCGATTGCTGCCGCCTCGCTGAATATATTTTGAGGCCGGCAAGCAAGGTTCACACTTTTGTGTGAACATTTTGGGGCAGCTAGAGGCAGCCATCCCAGCCCAGCATGGTTCGCGTCGCGGCGGCGCTGGCGCTCTGCGCGGCCGTCGGCGGCGCGCCGGCCGCGGAGCCGCCGGACAGTGCCGTGTCGACGGCGGCGCTGCACGACGGCTGGCACCGGTACGGCATCGCGCTCCGCGACGCCGGCGACGTCGAGGGCGCCATCGCCGCCCAGCGGCGCAGCGCCTTCCACGGGCCGTACCTGCCCCACGCCTGGCGCCACCTGGGCAACGCGCTCATGCGCGGCAGCGTCGCCCTCCTCGACGTCCACGCGGGCCTCGCCTGCGGCCTCGCGGTCGAGAGCCGCGACGCTTTATCGCTCGCGGACGTCCACCTCGGCGACGCGCACGCGCCCAAGGGCCTCGCGGTCCTCGCGCGCGACGTCTTCCCGCGCCTCCCGCGCGACTGCGCCGGCGCCGCGGCGGCGGCCCTCGACGCCGCCGAGGGGCGCGCCGTCGCCGCGCTCGCCGCGCTCGACGCGGCTCGCGCGCCCGCGCCGGACGCCGTCGCGCGCGCCGCGGCCGCGGCCGTCGACGCGTACTGCGCGGACCTCGACGGCATGCACGTCGCCGCGCCCGACCACTCCGCGCTCTCGCCGACGGTCGCGCGGCGCGCCTACGCGGCGCTGCGGCTCTGCGGCGTCGCGGGCTGTGCCGAATTCAACCACTGGTTTGGGTGGTCCTGACCAAACTTCAGAATTCTCTAGCTCGGTCACATCGGAGTCGATTCGGCTGATTTTTGGACGAATCGATCGCTCTCGTCGAGTTCTCGAAGCAGAGCCGAAGAAGTCGCGTCGAAACTGTCGCGTATGCTCACATTGAAGTCGAGTTGAAGATTTGAATTCGGCCCAGGTCGCGGGCGTCGCGAACGCGCTCGACGGCGCCGCGCTCGCCGCGGCCGGCGCGGCCGAGCGCGCGGCGCGCGGCGCGCTCGAGCGCGGCGACGGCGGCCGGGGGCTGACGGCGACGGCCGCGGACGGCGACGAGCCCCGCGTGTCCGGCCGGGGGCCGAACCGCTTCGAGGTCGAGCTGCCCGCGCTCGACGCGGCCGCCGCCCGCGCGCGCGTCACATCTTCGACCCGACTTCACTGTGCGCGCATGCGACCGTTTCGACACACGCTCTTCGGCCGCGCTTCGAGATCTCAACGAGAGCCATCGATCCGTCCAGAAATCAGCCGAATCGACGTCGACGTGACCGAGCTCGAGCATCGCAGAGTTTGGCGGGGACGTCCCGAACCGGCGGTCGATTCGCGCGCAGGCCGTCGCGGCGCCGGCGGTCGTCGCGAACGGCCTGCTCCACCCCCTCGCCCAGCTCGTGCTGGGCACGGCGGCCGTCGAGCTCGACGCCGTGTCCTCCGTCGTCGCCTACCCGGGCGCCGTCGAGCAGGGGCTCCACGGCGACACGCCCGCGATCGTCGACCTCGTCCGCAAGTCCGCGGCGCTGCCGCGGCTCCCGGGGCCGCGAACGGGCGACGCGACGCGAGCGCGCCGCGCGCGCGCGTCCCGGAAAAAGCATCCGCGCGTCGAGGGCGCTCCGAGAGATGGTCGCTCGTCCGAGCGTCGGCCGAAGCGAGCGGACGACGGCCGAGATCGGAGCCTTTCACCCGTTCGCGGCCCAGGCAGCTCCCGCCCCACGGGGTCATCGCCATCGCGCCGCTCGTGCCCCTCGTCCACGGCGAGAACGGCGGCACGGCCTTCGAGGTCGGCAGCCACGTCGCCAAGCTCCTCCCCCTGTGCCGGCCCGCGTGGTCGCGGGCGTCCGACGCGCCGCCGGGCCCGCTGTCCGTCCGGCCCGCGGCCGCGCCGAACGTCGGCGACATCTACGTCTACGACCTGCGGGTCCACCACTTCGGCATGCCGTTCCCGCCGTCGACGTCCGCGCCGCCGCGGCCGCTCCTCAGCCTGCCCTACGTGAAGAACTGGTACGTCGACGCGGTCAACCACCCGACGCGGCACACGGACGGCTACGGCGCGCTCGACGACGTCACGAAGAAGCTCCTCGTCCGCGTCGACACGCGCCAGCACCACGAGGCCCTCTTCCAGGCCGCGGCCACGTGCGAGGAGCCCGCCGCCGCGCGCGCGGGCTGGTTCTAACAGGATGCAACTAACATATCCCGCCGGCGGGATATGTCAAACGCCGCTTCAACAATTGCTTCCGAAGGAGTCCGAAGTCAACTTGAACATGAACTTCTTAAGTACCGCGGGTCTTCCTAGACCATCTCCCGCGCCGGCGGGCCCGGCGAGCCCGGCGCCTCGCCGTCGCCGTCGTCGGCCTCCGTGACGGCGACGGCCGCGTAGGCCGGCGGCGGCGGCGGCTCGCAGCGCGAGAGCACGTCCGCGGCGACGTAGCCGCCGAAGGCCGCGACGGCGGCGGCGCCGAGCGCGACGGCGCCGCCGGCGCACGCGAGCGCGCGCATGGCGCCGTAGACCGCCGCCGCCGCGGCGAGGAGCGCCGCCGTCGGCGCGGGCCGCGCCTCGGCCGCGTCGCGGAGCTCCGCCGTGCGGACGAAGACGCGGTGCGCCGCGACGAGCCATAAAGTCGCGGCGAGCGCGAGGTTGCAGAGGGGCCAGTCCTCGTCGGGAAGGAGCCAGAGCACGCCGCCGGCGCTCCGGTTCATGAGCAGGTGGAACTGGAGGAGGTAGAGCTCGAGCGACCGCGCGCCGACCCACTCGAGCGGCATCGACACGGAGTTCCGCGACGCGGGCGTCGCGTTGCGCAGCAGCGCGTAGAGCGGCACCCAGAGCGTGCCCACGTAGGGCTGGACGTCGCGGTAGGCCGCGGGCTTCGCGTGCGTCGCCCAGGCGACCGCGCCCGCGGCCGCGAGCGCGGCCGCGGCGGCGGCCGCGGCGCCCTTCGCGGTCTTCGAGCGATCCCCGACGACCCACACGGCGACCACGGACGGGAGCGCCGCCGCAAAAACCGCGCCGAAGAAGGAGCTCAGGTAGTCCATGCGCGTGCGGTACCAGAAGTAGGTCTCGAAGGGCGCGCCGAACGCCGAAGAGAGCGCGGGCCGGAGCGCCAAATCGTAGCCGCCGAACTCCCAGACGGCCGCGGCGACGGCCGCGTAGAGCACGAGCGCCGGCAGCGCGCCGAGGAGGTCCAGCCCGCGCCCGGCGCCGCCGGGCAGGCACCGGCGGCACGCGCTCGCCAACCCGAACGCCGCGAAGCAGAGCGCGAAGTGCACCGTGTGCAGGGCCACCACGTAGTAGGCGATCCAGTGCGTGCCCGTCGCCAGCGACAGGGGCGCGGCGAAGCAGTTGATGCGCCAGACCATCTTGAGGAAGCGCGCCCCGCTGAAGTCGGACGTCTTCCAGAAGTAGCGCGCGTTCCCGAAACCCGTGAGCCAGACGTACGCGGACACGAACCAGCGGATGGGCACGTAGACGCCCTGGGCGTTGGCGTAGTGGTAGGCGACGAAGGCGACCTGCATCCAGCCCTTCCACTCGTTGCACTGGGCCCGGTTGAAGAAGAGGGCCGGGTCCGCCGCGTCGTTTTGGATGCTCCTGACCATCGGCGGCGCGAAGCACACGACCGCGAGGAGCGCCATGGCGAACCACCAGAGGTCCGGGTTCTCGCCCAGGAGCCGCGACCCGGCGGGGAGCACGGCACTCGGCGCGACGGCGTCGCAGAAGGCGGCGACGAAGACCCAGGCCGCGAGCTCGAGCGCGGCCGCCGTCGCCGGCGCGGCGCCCGGCTCCGGCGCGCGCGCGCGCGGCGCGCCCGCGGGTCGCCGCTTGCCGCGGATCTCGGGCAGCTCGACCTCCGGGGTCTGCGGCGCGCCCGTCGCGGCCCGCGCGCGCCGCGCCGCGAGGCGGGGCACCGCGACGACGCGCGCGGCCGCGCCGACGAACGCGAGCGCCAGGAGCGCGATGAGCCGCGCGCCCGGCGCGAGCACGCAGACGCCCCGCCCCCCCGCAAAGGCCGCCCCGAGGCCCGCCCGGAAGGTTTTCAGGGCGTCGCGCCAGGCCCGGGCGTCGACGGCCTTGTCCGACGCGCAGCCTCCGGGGAACGCCTCGCGGACGCCGTGGCCGCCGAGTATCTCGGACGCGCCGCCGCCGTAGCCGACGCCGCCGGCGCCGTCGTCGTCGACGAAGGCGGGCTTGCTCTTGGCCGCCGCGCCGCCCGCCGCGCCGTCGGCCGCCGCGCCGTCCGTCGGCCGCGGCGTCGGCCGCGGCGTCGGGCGCGGCGTCGGCGCGGCGGCGCAGCGCTTCGCCTCGCGGAGGTCCCCCGGGCCGTCGCCCGCCGCGCAGGTCCCCGTCGCGCAGTCGCCGGCGACGTCGCAGGTCGCCCCGACGGCGCAGGGGGCGCAGGTGCCGCCGCAGTCGACGTCGGTCTCGCCCGCGTTTCGAGCGCCGTCGGCGCAGTGCGCGGACGTCGGCGCGAAGGACGTCGGTGGCGCGGAGGTCGGCCGCGGCGCGGGCGCGCGCGTCGCGCCGGCCTTGTAGGCGTCGCTCCTGCGCGTGCCGTCGGCGCGCGCGGGGAAGACGCGGCCGTCGACGGCGAGCGCGCTCAGCAGGAGCTGCGTCCAGATGTGGTAGAGCGGGGCCACGGGGTGCCGCCCGTCCTGCGTGCGCGCGTAGACGTTCCACTGGTTCGAGAAGCCGTGGACGTCGAGGAGGGGTAACGGCGGGCCGCTTTTCTTGCTGACGAATTTTCCCGCGAGGAAGTTGTAGTGGTCGACGCCCTTGACGGCTTCGACGCGCCGACTGTCGCGGTCCTCGTCGTCGTCGACGCACGTCTCCGTCGTGTACTCGCCGCAGCAGGGCGACGTCCGCAGGTAGGCCGCGGGCACCCGGTCGAGGAGCAGGGTCGCGTAGTCGTCGAGCGTCTGGGCCAAGTTGCTCTGGCAGCCCGCGGGGTCGCCGAAGCCGTAGGCGTCGCCGCAGGGGCAGTCCTTGAGCTCCCACCAGCCGACGTTCGCGAGGACGAGGTCGGCCCAGGGCGCCACCGTGTCCTCGAAGAGGGGCCTGGCGAAGGGCTCGATGGTCTTCCAGTCGAGCATGAACCAGAACTGCGTCGTGATCGCGTCGTCGACGAGGTCGTCGCCGCAGAGCGCGCGGGCGTCGTCGGGCACGGGGTGGGTCTTGATGAAGTGCTGGCGGTGCGTGCTCGACTCGGACCAGTCGGGGTCGTACCAGCGGCTCGCCTCGTCGTAGTGCGCGGAGCCCTCGCCGTCGGCCCACTTGGAGTCCTCGAGCTTCTTGAGGCGCGTGTCGACGCGGCCCGTGGCGAGCCACTCGTTGAAGATGAAGTAGTGGAAGCGCGTCACGCTGTCGCCGACGAAGGCGACGTGGGGCGTCGCGGCGAGGAGGCAGAAGGCCTCGGCGCGCGAGACGTCGGCCCCGTTGTAGGCCTCGACGTTTTCGCCCGTGCCCGCGAAGCCGAGCGTGAGCGCGAGGGACGCGCGCGCCGTGGACCGCACGTCCTTGAGGGGGTCCTCGTAGTAGGTGTCGACGAGGGCCGGGTTCGTCGGCTTGTTGTGCGCGTCCGCGAGCCTCCGCCTGGACGGCGCCGCGGGGCCCGCGCCGGCGCGGACGGCGACGGCCGCGTCGGGGTCGGGCGCCACGTGGAAGGGACGGCCGGCGCAGTGCGCCTCCAGCCGCGCGGCGAAAGTCTCGAGGGTCGCGCCGCCCGCCGCGACGGCCGCGGCCGCGGCGCCGCCCGCGGCGACGCCGCCCAGCGACCGCGCGGGGGACCCGAAGCGGTCGCCGGCGTCGGGCAGCGCCACGCCGCAGGCGCCGCCCTCGAGCTCGCCGAGCGCCGCGGCCCAGGCGCGCGCCGCGACGCGGCGCACGGGGCCGCCCGCGTCGCCGTCGACGACCGCGAAGGCCGCGTCCGCGTCGCGCGCGCGGTGCGCGGCGACGAGCGCGGCGACGTCCGCATTTTCTGCCGCGACGACGGCCGCGCGGCCCAGCGACGCCGCCGCCGCGGCCTCGACGCGCGCCACGTCGGCGCGCGGGGCGACGATCGTGACGTCGAGGCGCGTCGTCGCGTACTCCAGGCTGCGCAGGCTGTGGGCCGCCTGGTCCGGGCTCGGGGCGAGCAGGAGGACGTGGAGGGCGTTCGCCGTGCACGCGAGGAGGAGGAGCGTCGACGCTGGCGGCATCGAGCTTATAGGCTACTGGTTAGCTTCGGCAGGTCAGCATCGTCGTCGACAATTTTCAGTTTGATGCGGAAGCGCGACCTTGGCGAGAGGCCTGGGGTAGGCTTGGGGTACTCGTCCGCTGGACGGGTCGAGGACTCGGCCGCGGGCAGGCCCGGGCAGGCCTGCGCGCGCGAGCGGGCGACGTCGCGTGCTGCGGCTGATGTTTTAAAACGGGGAGGGCGGGAGGTCGGGGGATTGGCGACCGCGGCGCCGCGGCGGCGGGCGCGGCGGGCGCCGGGGCCTACGCGGCCTGCGTCTTGGCGAAGAAGAAGTCGTCCTCGGGCTGGATGGTGCCCTTGGGGAGGAAGCCCTGGAGCTCGTCGGCGTGCTCCAACAACAGCCGTCGTCGGGCCTCCTGGACGACGCGGAGGCGGTACTCCTCGGATTTGAGCGCGTTGCCGTTCTCCTCCATCTCCGCGGCCTTGGCGCGCTCGTAGACCTCCTGGCGCTCGATCTTCTGCAGCTTGACGGCCTCGATGTACTTGGCCTTGTCCGCGGCGCGGCGGTCCGCGATGAGGCGCTCGTTGCGCTCGTCCTCGGCGAACTTGTGCCGCATCGTCTCGACGAGGCGCTGCTCCTCCTTGCGCTCGACCTCGCGCTGCTTCTGCTTGGCGACGAGCATCTCCTCGTTGGCCAAAGCCATGTCGCGCTTGTTCTGCTGGCGCTTGGCCTCGCGGTCCTGCTCCTCCTTGCGCCGCTGCGCCTCCATCTCCTCCTCCCACAGCAAGTCCCGGAGCGCCTGGAGCTCCTCCTCCTCGGCGCGGTGCTTCTCCGTCTCGGCGACGATGCGCTCGAAGGCGGCCTTGTCCCGCGCCTTCTTCTCGGCCTTGAGGCGGAAGAGCTCGGACTCGCGCGCGGCGAGCGCGTCCGCGTGCTGCTGGATCTGCGCGTCCTCGAACGCCGCGCGCTCCTTGGCGTCGACGAGCTCGCGGCGCCGCTGGGCCTCGTACTGCTTGATGAGGGCGCGGCACTCGTCCTTGCGCTTCGACCGCTCGTCGAGCTCCCGCGTGTCCTCGGCGATGATCTTCCGGACGACGGCCTCCACCAATTCGCGGTCGCGCTCGGCCTCGAGGCGCGCCTCCTCGGCGAGCTTGAGGCGGTCGGCCATCTGCTCCTGGAGCGCCGCCTTCTGCTTGAGCAGCACCTCCTTCTTGCTGCCCGCCTTCTCGTGCTCCGTCTCGAGCGCGGCCCGGCGGTCGCACTCCATCTGGTCGTCGATCGCGTGCTCGCGGAGCTGGTGCCGCCGCTGCTGGAGGATGCGCTCCTCGTGCTGCGCCGCGCGCTCCTTGTTCATGTAGGCGACCTTGAGCTTCAACTCCAGCTCCTTGAGCTCCTCGGACTCGCCGCAGATGCGCTGCACCTCGCGCTCGCGGCGCTCGCGCTCGGCCTGGCGCCGCTCGAGCTCGCCGGCGAGGGCCTGGGACTGGTGCACCTCGAGCTCGTGGCGCTTCGCCGCCAGGGCCCGCTCGTCCTGGATGCCCTTGATCTGCGCCTCCGTCGCGAGGCGCAGCGCCTGCGCCGCGCGGCGCCGCTGCGGGATGGAGATCTCGCTCTGGGCCGCGATCTGGAGCCGACTGCTGTCCTCGACGTAGTGGTGGAGCAGCTTCATCGTGTTCTCCTCCATGCGCCGCTTCCCCATCATCGTGTCCACGCTCGACGTGTTCATGCGCCGGTTCGCCATCGTCCTCCGAGCGCGGCGGCGGCGAATCTAGGGGGGCGAGGCGCGGAAAGGCGGACGACGGACCGCCGGCGGCACCGCGGCGGCTCCGGCGGAACCCGCGGCGAGAGCCGGGGACACGAGGCGCGCCGACGACGACGGCGGCGGCTCCTCGTTTGAGGCAGCGCGCTGCCTGTTATATGCTGAGGCAAGATACCGAGATGATGTTGCTGTTCGAGGGACGACGATGATGGGATGAAGAAGCCCGCCGCGTGCCCCCTGGGCAAGTATGAGTGGTCGCGCGTCGTCGCGTTCTGCGGGCGCCTCGCGCGCGGCGACGCGCGGCGGCAGCTCCAGGCCCTCGCGTGCGCGAGCCGCGGCCTGAGCGCGGGCCTCGGCCGCAGCCCGGCCTGGGTCCACGCGGCGGCGGCCCTCGGCCGCGACGCGCCGCCGGAGGCGGCGCGAGCGATCGTGCTCGAGAGCGTCGCGTACCGCGCCACGACCGCCGCGGGCCTCTACCTCAACAGCCTGCTGGGCAGCGGTTTGGACGTCCGGCCGTTCGACGTCGCGCTCGACGACGGCTTCGCGTTCGCGCTCACCGCGGCGGGCGACGCGACGATCGCGCCGCGCCGCCGCCGCCGCCGGCGGCGCCCGGCGACCTGGCGCCGCTTCTCCGCGACGGCGTCCAAGGCGGGCCTCCACACGGAGGTCGCGGGCGCCGTGCGGGCGGGCCGCGACGACGCGGGCCTGCCGGGCGGCGCGGTCTTCTGCGCCCTGCGCGAGCGCTCCGCGACGGGCGACTTCTGGAACCCGGCCCAGTCGAACCCCTACGGCACGGAGGTCTGCCCCTGCGAGTACCGCGGCTTCGTCGTCGGCGCCGCCTTGGTCGGCCTCTGCGGCTTCACGCTCCACCCGCTCTGCGAGCGCCGGTGCATCGGCTGCTTCGCCCTGCGGCTCCCGGACGCCGCGCCGCGGGCCGGCCCGAGGCCGCGGCGGTCCTGGGCGCGGTGCCGCTTCGTCGGCGCGGGCGTCGCCGCGCGCGGCAAGCGGATGGCGTGCGAGACGCTCTCGACCTACGCGATGAAGGACGGCGCGGTCCTGCTCGACGACTGCGCGCCCCTCAAGGCGCGCCTGGGCGACGCGGGCGACGTCGGGCGCTGGGGCGGCGCCGTGCTCGTGCTCGAAAAAGCTGCGGCGACGACTCGACGCCGCCGTCTTCGGCCACCTGCGGCTGCAGCAGCCCTTCGACAGGGAGACGGGCCCGCCGCGGCGGAACAGCACGGCCGTGCCGCTCCGGGGCGCGCTCACGCCCGGCGCCGGCGGGTCGTGGCGGCTCTGGGCGACGACGGACCGCGGCGGCGTCGGCACCGCGCTCCGGCCGTCGCCCCCGGCGCGCGACGCCGCGCCGTCGTCGCCCGCGGCGGAGGCGTGCCGCCGGCTCTGGGGCGACGCGGCCTTCGGCTTCGATCTCAGCGTCGCGCCGCGGGACGGCGCGACCTTCGAGCTCACGGCGACGCTCGACGCCGACTTCTCGACGATCACCGCGGTCTTCCGCCACAACGAGGGGCACCCGTCCTTCGCCACGACGGACGGCGCCCTCGCGCTGGCCTTCGAGGAGGAGTGGGACCCGGGATAAATGTCCGTGGCGAGGCGTCCGCGGCGCAACCATCACGCAGGCTTCACGCGTAGGCCTACGCGTAAATCGCGCATCGGCGCCGCCGCTGCTCATTGGCTGAGCTCCTCGGGACCACGCCGCGGCTCTGGAAACGTCGATCCGGAGAGCCGTCGCCGCGCCGCACCGTTCGTGCACCGCCGCACCACCGCACCGCCGCACCGCCGCGCGCACGAGACTCGCGCGCGCCGTCGCCGCGACGAAGGAAGAACGATGACGGAGATCTACGAGGCCGTGAAGAACACGGCCGCGGACCTGGAGGCCGAGCCCGTGCTGCGCTTCGCGGAGCTGGCGGCGTCGCTGCTGTCCTGGACGCTCATGGCGTCGGCGTACCGCGGCAACTACGACGGCCTCTACGAGTACAGCAACTACACGCCGCTCAACTTCCTGCTCGCGACCGCGCTGCTCCAGTCGCTCTTCGTCGTCGCCGTCGTCGTCGCGAAGCGGCTCGCGGCGGAGCAGGCGGCGCTCGTGGACCGGGTCGAGCTCTTCGGCACCCAGGGCGTCTTCGTCGGCATCGTCCTGGGCTTCGTCGCCGGCGCGGCGAGCAGCACGCAGCTCCACGACGAGTTCGGCGGGTCCTCCGTCTGCGAGCCGCACGGCGTGAGCCACGGCCAGAAGGACAAGGCCGCCGACTTCTGCGGCCACGTCGACGCCGCCGTCGCCTTCGCCTTCTTCGCCGCCGCGGCCGCGGGCGGGTCCCTCTACGTCGTGTTGAAGTCGCGCGGGCTCCACGGCGGCTTCCGGCCCGAGACGGACCCGGAGGACGTCGCGCCCAACTCCTACAACCCCATCGGCCGCCAGGACGGCCGCACCTTCGAGCCCTTCCACGGCGGCACGGCCATGGAGGGCGTCGGCCCCGGCGACGTCAAGCACGACGCCGCGGTCGACCTCTAACGGCGCGTTCGCGGTGCGCGTGTACCTCGGGGCGGGCGTGAAGGGTCCCGCCGGCGGGATATGTGAGCTCCCCCCTCACCTCGTCCGGGTCCGCCCTATTTGTGGCTGGGTTGTTTAAGATCCCGGATCGAATGGCGCGGATCGGATTCGAGAAAATCGATGGTAAAGAGGGCTTTGGCAGTGGTGATGGGCACCTTTGGCAAGCTCTATCTCGGCGCCATGCCCACCGATTTGCAAAATTCTTGTTGCATCTGAAAGCCGGCACCGCCGTCTTGCGCGCAGAGCCACTAACTCAAAAACTTCAAGAGCCTCACAAATCCGGTTTTTTATTCAACCCAGCCACATTTAATAACGCCCTATCGAGTCGGCCCTTCAACTTGCTCTTCGAGCACGGGCTTATGGCAAAAGGCCCTCTAAGGCCCGGTGCTCGAGCGGCGCGCGAGGCCGCTGTGCGCACCAAGTGCCGCTGAGCAAGTGCCGCTGAACGCGCCAAGCACAGCGTGAAACCCGAGCATGGCCGCCATCGCAGCGCACAACGCGAAGCGCAAGGTCGAGGCGCAAGTCTTCGCCCTCCAGGACGAGCTCGAAGACCAGGGCCTCGACGCGTGCGAGATCGACCGGCGCTGCGCGGCGCTGCGCACCGAGCTGCTGGCAGCGCCCGCGGCGACGCCGGCGCCGCCGGACAGCGTGCCCGCGGCGACGCCGGCGCCGCCGGACAGCGCGCCGCCCGAGAGACCGACGCCGCCGGCGCCGGGCGACGTCGTCGTGCTGCGGCGATTATTCGACGCGGCCGACGTCGCCGCGGTGCTCGCCGCGGGCGCGACGGCGGCGCGGCGCTACCCGCGCGCCGTCAAGTTCGAGGACGAGGGCCACGAGGACGTGACGGGCTCTGACGCGCACGCCGTGCTCTACCTGCACCGCGACGGCTTCTTCGCGCGCGAATACGCGGCGCTCTGCGAGAGGCTGACGGCCGCCATGCGCGCGGCGCTGCCGCGCGCGCAGCGCCTCGAGGTCCGCTGCGTCGAGCTCCACACCTACGGCGTCGGCGGCGGGCTCACGATCCCGGACCACCGGGACCTCGGCTCGGAGCTCTCGCTCTCCGCGCTCCTCAGCGACGCGCGCGCCTTCGACGGGGGGCGCTTCGTCACCTACGACGCGGCCGGCGCCCCCGTGGTCCACGAGCTCGACCGCGGCGACGCCGTCGTCTTCGCGTCCGACCAGGTCCACCACGTCGCGACGGTCTCGCGCGGCGAGCGGCGCGCGCTCGTCGTCGAGCTCTGGGCCGGCCCGGCGACGAACCACGACCGGAGCCGGTAACCAACATGTACCGCTCGACTACCCCGGCGGCGGCTTGCCCGCGACGGCGTACTCGAGGGAGATGCCGTGCGCGGTCTGGTACATGTCCGCGATGAGCGCCGTCGCGGGCCGCGTCGACGGCGACTCGATGGCGTAGGTCTTGTCGTTGACGAAGGTCATCTCGAGCCTCGGCGGCGCGTCGCGGACCATCAAGGTCTCGACCTTGCATTTCGGGTTCGCGGCGATGAGCGTCGGGCTCGTGACCTGGCGCCACATCTCGCGGAGCGACCGCGCCTCGGACGAGAAGGGGTCGAAGCTGAACTTGAGCTGGCGCACGAACATGAAGAGCTTCAAAGCCTGGGGCTTGGAGACCTTGAAGGCCATCGCGCTGTGTGGCGGCGCGGCGCTCTGCGAGCGCTGTGAGCCGCGAGTCTTTTTGCAGCACTTCTCGAAGCGCTGGTTTTGGAGGGTTGTGTCAGTCTTTAAGCGGTTAGAGACGCGCTGGGTGGCGCTGGCGCTGGTGCGCGAGACGCTGCAGGCGTCGTCGGCGGGCGGCCGGCCTGGGCGGGCCGATCGGCTCGCTCCGCCGCTTTCGAGATCGCGTCAGAGTCGAGCTGCGCCGCTTGTCGTCCCGATCAAGTAGGATGAAGACCTTCTTCTTAACGAGTATCGTCGGTGAGTAGACTCGCGCGACGCGGGGGTACGGTGGGGGGTGGCGCGAGGCCATTTCTTGGGTCGCTGCGGCCCGAGAACGCGCGAACAGCGCTGGCTCCGTTTCGCGACCGGACTTGAGGGGGCGCTCCGCGAAACGAGCGAAGGGCGCGGCTGCTCTCGCGCTGGACTCACGCACCCATGCTTTAGGCGTCTCGGCGCTGACGACGAGCCGGTCCCGGCTCCCGGTCGCGCCCGCGCGGACCGCGCCGGCGTCGCGCATCGCCATGGAGGACTTCGGCCTCCTCAAGGGCACGCAGTTCGACTTCGGCAAGGAGTGGACCAAGGAGGGCGCATCGGGCCCCGGGTCCATCGAGGACTGCCTCTCCGAGGCGACCATGGAGACCTACATGAACAAGAACGGCCTCCGGTACAAGATGAACAAGACGGACAAGGAGCGCGAGGGCCTCAAGCTCTTCGGCGGCCTCCTGCCGGAGGTCCGCTTCACGGTCCCGGGCATCAACGTCGACGTCAACATCGTCGCGCCCCAGGTCGAGTCCATCTGGGAGGCCCTCGGCTTCGCGGCGACGTCGAACAACGCGCGCCGCGTCGAGGAGAAGATGAAGGCCGTCGCCAAGGAGAAGTCCAAGAAGGAGGGCGAGTACAAGACGCTCGTCGACTACTGGTCCGACAAGTACGGCTACACCAAGTACTACCCGGGCTCCTGGTTCTACTACGACCAGCTCTCCACGGACCCGGAGGAGTCCGGCCGCGGCGCCATCGGCACGCCCATCCGCAAGATGTCGGGCTTCCGCATGCGCAAGGGCGGCTTCTACCTCGACAACACGAAGGACTCCCGCAAGTGATCGTCCCTAGTCGTCGCGTAAATTCCCCACCACTCGCGCCGTCGCCGCGGCGCGGTCGTTCGAGCGCGGCCGCGCGCCGATCTGTACGCTCGCGCCGTGCTCCGCGGCGTGCGCCGGCGCGTTCCAGAGCCCGGAGCGCGGCTGGGGTCGTGTCGAACTCGCCCGGAAGCGTCCCGGAGGCCACTTGAAGAGCGTTGCATCGATTCCTTCGGCTGCTGAGCTGGACCGCCGACTCGTCGCAGCCACGATGTACTGCCGCTGCGTCGTCCTCCTCTGCGCCGGAACGGCAGCGTTCCAGACGCGCAACGTGCAGCTGCAGCAGACGCAGACGCGCCGCCCAGCGACGATCGCTCCCGAAGAAGTCGCAACAGACGAGTCGTCCATCATCATCGACGAGGAGAAGATGCTCGCCGCGAGCACGTTCCCGCTGAAGCCCGACGAGCTCATCGCGCTGTCGAAGCAGTTCCTCGAATCCCGCGGCGGCTTCGGCGCCGACGAGGCGCTGCTCGCCGACTCGTTCGAGTTCGTCGGGCCGGTCGTCGGCCCGCTGTCGAAGGCGGCCTTCGTCAACGCCATCGGCTCCGTGGACATCGACAAGGCCTTCCCGGACTTCCAGGGCCAGTTCTACGGCTTCTTCGTCGACCCCTACGACCTGAACCGCGTCTGGTACCACCGCTGTGTGGAAATCAACCGCTGGTTTGGGACGTCCCGACCAAACTTTGACATTCTCTAGCTCGGTCACATCGAAGTCGCTTTGGCTGATTTTTGGACGAATTGATTGCTCTTGTCGGGTTCTCGAAGCATAGCCGAAGGTTCTGGTCCAAACCGTTCAATTACGCTCATATTGAAGTCGGGTGGAAGATTTGAGTTCCACACAGGTACACCGCGCGCGGCGAGGGCACGAACACCGGCCCGCTGCCGCCGTTCGCGCCCGTCGCCACGGGCAAGAAGCTCGTGAACCCGCCCCAGGTCTGCTCCCTGACCTTCGACCGCAGCGGCCTCGTCACGAAGTACACCATCGGCTACGTCGTCGACCGCGACGTCGGCACGACGGGCGGCCTCGGCGGGCTCTACGGCGTGCTCTACGCCATCGGCCGGCCGCTGCCGTTCCCCGAGGCCCAGCCGTGGCGCAAGTCGCCCCAGTACGCGCTCTTCCAGGCCGTCGGCGGCGCGCTCCAGGCGCTCCTCGGGTAATCGATCGCTCTTGCCCTGTGGGGAATCGGCGGATTCGGACTGGTTTGCGCCAGCGGGTCGTCTAGCGCCGCGCGGACTTCAGAGGCCGCGCGAAGGCCGCGCTTCACTTCTGTAGCGCGACCGACGCTCGACCGACCTCTTCGAGCTCCAAAAAAGGTTAGAAAACGGCAAGTTGGCAAATCCGTGAGGTTCGTAACCGCTGACGGTGCCCTGCAAGATCCCCACATCATTTGACCATTCGTGGCACAGGCAGCCCAGGCGTCCATCGTCGCGGCGCGCCCACTGCGGCCGACGCGCGCCTCGACCCCGCCGCTTCGCCATGCCGCCGCCGGCCGTGGAGCGGGCCTGGGAGGCCATCGCCCTGACCATGGTGGCGCTGCGGGACGGCGACGAGCACGCGGCGTTCAGTAGCGCGGGCCTCGACGCGAGCGTGACGGCCCTGCGGTTCCGGCGCGGCCAGGGGAACGAGGTGACGCTCGGCGGCCACTTCCTCGGGCGGGCGATCAAGACCATCGTGCCCTTCATCACCGACGGCGACAGCGTGCTCCACGCGCGGCCCCCGCGCCCCCGCCGCGCGCGCCGCGCGCGCGCGAGACCCGTCCCCCGTCCCTAGGTGGCGGCCCGGCGCGGCTTCGCGGGCGTCTGCCGGACCTATCTAGCCCAGGGGAGCTTCCTCCTCGCGAAGAACGAGCTCGGGGAGCAGCCCGCGGACGTCGCGCGCGGCCCCGCGGCGCTGCTCCTGTCGCAGATGACGGGCCGCGCGCCGCCGGAGGCCGGCGGCGACGACGTCGCCCTGGCGACGCAGCGGAGCCTCGACGACGCGCCGGCGCCGCCGCCGTCGCCCGGCGAGAAGGCGAAGAAGGCCTCCATGTTCTCCCGCGTCGCCAGTGTCGGCAAGAAGCTCGCGGGCTCCAAAAAGGACGCGAAGAAGGACGAGGCCGCCGACGTCGTCGGCGACAAGCTCGCCCACGCCTCCGTGGCCCGCGCGGCGAC